GGCTCACTGGTACCAGCACCAATGCACACACAGCTATCCCCTTGTTGGAAGTGAATCCTCTTTTGTGCCAAGTGCCATCAAATGATACATGAATGTCTATGATGGCATCCTCATCCTCCTTCAGCAACTCTGCTATGTCTGTGTCTATTTCTGCGTATGCTCTTCTAATTAGCTTTGCCACACTCTCCATTGGCTGTAGCCCTCTCTGAATCTCTGCTACTAAAGTGGGGGGAGAAAGTACTTATGTCTGTCGACATTACAGTCATAACTGCAGGACTAAATATCAGCATGTTACCCTATTTAAATATCAGCATGTTACCCTATGTAAATATTAGCATATCTGCATGTATTTACTTTATGTAAAGCTAATTTCTCAGTAATCACAGTAGACTACAGCCCTATGACACTGTAGGCCTATGTGACAGTCTCGTTGTATACTTATGTTTTCCTATCACTCTGTTTATTCACGTTGAATACATTTGCTGGAGCAAGGAAATCAATATTTATGCACATCAAGTCACCTGACAATAATGGGCTACTCTCCCTTTTTATTTACCTGTCACGTCTCTGATATGAGCTGAGACGCAATGAAGGAATCCCTAGGACTTTGATTATTTTCTTTAGAGCTGCATAACCAAGTCCAAGTTCGTGGGCTAGAAGAACCATCCTCACATTTATATCAAAAGCCACATCTCCCCTGGAGCACTCCTGCAGCCTGGAGGAAGTGTAAACACTCCTCCTAAATGCATCACGATCACCTTCACAGTGTGCACATTCAATCATGACAGAATTACAGAATCCCTGGTTGGTGGGGTCTATGGTGATTTTCAGTCCAGTGTTTAGACACTTATGGAAAATCAAATCATGTACAAGTTGGTTTATTTGTGACGTGGAATAAAATGCACTGTTGGCTGGCTAGCTGTCTGCTGACTGGTTGATCGCTGCTAGCTGTCATCTTCATCTCAACTAATTTGCGTCTCGAAGCGCTGCTGCCGGCCTCCTCCTTTTCCTCCTCTACCTGTACTGCCACTGCCTCGATCGGCTGATCAGGATAATTTATTATTGAATTCACTGCTTTTCTCGCATTGGTTAACCTCTTAAGGATCGGACCCTTTTTAAAAATGTTAGCCTAAAATGACATACCCAAATCTAACTGCTTGTAGCTCAGGACCTGAAGCAAGGATATGCTTTGACGTTTGTGGAAATTGATGTAGGAGAATATAACACATTAGATCTGGTTAAAGATAATACAAACAAAAAAACATGAGTTTTCTATTTTTTGTTTTGTTCCATCATCTTTGAAATGCAATTGAAAGGCCACAATATAATATTGCAATATAATATTGCAGTTTAGGCGCAATGTAGATTCTGGCCACTAGACAGCAGCAGTGTGTGTGCAAAGTTTCAGATTGATCCAGCGAAGCATTGCAATACTGGACTATTTTGTATCAAGTCTGCCCAAATGTGCCTCAAACAATAGCATGGTATTTTTTCACTGTAAATTGGACAGTGCAGTTAGATTAACAATAATGTAAGATTTCTGCCCATATAAGACATGTCTATGTCCTGGAAAGTTTGCTGTTACTTACAACAGTCATGCTAATCACATTAGCACACATTAGCTCAACCGTCCCGTATACGGGACACCGATCCCGTAGAGGTTAACTGAGATCGCCTATTCTTATTCACATACTATAGGTATATTCTTCGAGATTTGCTCATTTTGTCTCTCTTTACGTGGATTCTTCGCGGGAGATATTTTCAAACAAGGAGGGATTTTCAAACAAGTGAGGCATTTTAACCAATCAGGTTGCTGTAAAGGGCCTTTAAATGCCAGTAACCAATCAGATGTCAGGAAATTACTCATCTTTCAGCACAAAGCACTACGTCTACAAAGAACATAGCCATGTATGGACTAGCTAACGATATGCTCCGGAAAACATGCTTTTGAATGATGTATGATTCAACATGGAGAGTTTTAAAAATAGCAGTTGAAGTTTTACATGAAACATGCTAACAAGAACTAAATTTATGCTAGGTGTAGTTGATGGAGATGGGATAAAATGATACAAATCAAGTATTTAAATACATTATTGCAGATTTATTTGTACATTTTATGAAAGTATGGAAGTTATAGTTGCAAAATATCCCAAAATCTGAAAATTGACAGATGTAAGCAAAATCACAATATTTGCCTGTGGTGTCTGGCCTTAAAGGGGGAGATCAAGCTGATCCTAACTGTTATAGGCCAATTTCTATTTTGCCCTGTTTATCAAAAGTGTTGGAAAAACGTGTCAATAATCAACTGGCTGGCTTTCTTGATGTCTATAGTATTCTCTCAAGTATGAAATCTGGTTTCCGCTCAGGTTATGGATGTGTCACTTCAACCTTAAAGGTCCTAAATGATGTCACCATTGCCCTTGATTCTAAGCAATGTTATGCTGCAATTTTTATTGCCTTGGCCAAAGCTTTTGATACGGTAGACCATTCCATTCTTGTGGGCCGGCTAAGGAGTATTGGTGTCTCTGAGGGGTCTTTGGCCTGGTTTGCTAACTACCTCTCTCAAAGAGTGCAGTGTATAAAGTCAGAACATCTGCTGTCTCAGCCACTGCCTGTCACCAAGGGAGTACCCCAAGGCTCGATCCTAGGCCCCACGCTCTTCTCAATTTACATCAACAACATAGCTCAGGCAGTAGGAAGCTCTCTCATCCATTTATATGCAGATGATACAGTCTTATACTAACTGTAAGTCGCTCTGGATAAGAGTGTCTGCTAAATGACTAAAATGTAATGTAAAATGTTATACTCAGCTGGCCCCTCCCCGGATTTTGTGTTAAACGGTTAGTGTCAACAAGCTTTCTTTGTCCTTAACCTTGTTCTGAACACCTCCAAAACAAAGGTAATGTGGTTTGGTAAGAAGAATGCCCCTCTCCCCACCGGTGTGATTACTACCTCTGAGGGTTTAGAGCTTGAGGTAGTCACCTCATACAAGTACTTGGGAGTATGGCTAGACAGTACACTGTCCTTCTCTCAGCACATATCAAAGTGGCAGGCTAAGGTTAAATCTAGACTTGGTTTCCTCTATCTAATTGCTCCTCTTTCACCCCAGCTGCCAAACTAACCCTGATTCTGATGACCATCCTACCCATGCTAGATTACGGAGATGTAATTTATAGATCGGCCATCAGATTTGCCACCAATGCTCCTTATAGGACACATCACTGCACTCTATACTCCTCTGTAAACTGGTCATCTCTGTATAGCGGTCGCAAGACCCACTGGTTGATTCTTATTTGTAAAACCCTTGTAGGCCTCACTCCCCCTATCTGAGATACCTACTGCAGCCCTCATCCTCCACATACAACACCCGTTCTACCAGTCATATTCTGTTAAAGGTCCCCAAAGCACACACATCCCTGGGTCGCTCCTCTTTTCAGTTCGCTGCAGCTAGCGACTGGAACGAGCTGCAAAAAAAACACTAAAACTGGATAGTTTTATCTCCAGCTCTTCATTCAAAGACTCAATCATGGACACTCTTACTGACACTTGTGGCTACTTCACGTGATGTATTGTTGTCTCTACCTTCTTGCCTTTGTGCTGTTGTCTGTGCCCAATAATGTTTGTACCATGTTTTGTGCTGCTATCATGTTGTGCTGCTGCCATGTTGTGTTGCTACCATGTTGTTGTCATGTGATGTTGCTACCATGCTGTGTTGTCATGTGTTGCTGCCATGCTATGTTGTCATCTTAGGTAGTGTTGTGGTGTCTCTCATTGTGATGTGTGTTTTATCCTATATATATTTTTTTAATCCCAGCCCCCGTCCCCGCAAGAGGCCTTTTGCCTTTTGGTAGGCCGTCATTGTAAATAAGAATTTGTTCTTAACTGACTTGCCTAGTTAAATTAAGGAAAAAATAAATAATAATACCATGTCCTTTCTATTTCTGAACAACAATAGTTGCTTGGCAAATGAGGACATGTGCATGCACCCGAAAATGAAAATAAAATGTATCTTCTACTCATTTTAAATGGGTGAGTCAAAGATACTAAAGTTCCTTGTATAGTGTTTGACACAGGATTAGCTTTTTTTAAGCAAGCATCTATATAAATCTTGTCATCAGCAACTGACAGCCAGATGTTTTTTTTAAATGTAATTTAAAATGTTTAAGCCTCTTAGTCTTAGCTAGTTAATAACACTCAGATGTCAATTGTCCTTTCAAAGCTCCATCATTTCTCTAATGATACCATGACAGTCTGAATGACACAATACAAATACAAAAGTAGTAGGTTTAAATCTTCTTTAGAAGTATATATATATATTTTTTTTACTTGCATTCATCACACACAAAGTCACTGCAGTCCAATGAAAGTGCAAGGCAACACATTTTATTTCAAAGGCCTAAATGGCATTAAGGTACAGTATATAAATACTGGTGAATCCAGAGACAGTTGCTACAGGATAACACAGACCATTCTTTCTTTTACACACGTTACATTCATGTTGACTTAATGAGACATTTCAACTTAGCGCAGATGTGCTACAAACATAAGAAAAGCCTAGTTGAGAAAACTCAACTCCATGTACAAGTACAGTGATAAAAGAAAAGCCACGTAGAGTTATACAAAATATGAACATTTTTCTTCGATATAGTGCTATCACCTTGGGTTATTCCTACCACAGAGAATACCGGTACGCACACCTGAAGGCAAACATATTTCAGTTTATATACTTTTTGAGTTACATACAGTAGTAGTTAGTGTTGTAGAGACATTTGATTCAGTACTTAGATTACTGAACATTGTAATTTACATCCCTGCACATGATGGGTTTTTTAAATCTTCAAAATAAATAAATAAATAAATAATCATACAAATATCAGAATGTTGTAAAACCAGATTGACATTTGTGCCATAGTTACACCCCATAACGAAAGTCTCCATGTTGGATCTAACAAAAATTCTCTAAAAGGGTGAGGACTTCAGTAATTGTTAGTTCCATAAGCTTAGTGCCATAACATAACCCCAGTCGGTTAGAATAGTGTTTGTTTTTTTAGCACTTTTGAAATCGGTGTATCAAGAAAGCCCCATCGGTACTTGTGGGGGAAGACAAAAGAAAAGAAAGCATCCTGCAACAACTTGTGCACAGATTCTATAGTTCCTCCTCACCTTTCCACCCAAGCCATGTAATATCAGCAATCGCCACCATTCAAAAACACACATCCAAACCTATATTTTCAGTCAGAAGAGTATTTAAGCAACAGCACACAGGCAAAACTGAAACTTGGAGATGTGGTTATAAGTACAGCTTTGATAAAGTCCTCTCATTTCTATCCTGTAGCATATTTTTCCTTTTCTAGTATTTCACCTTCCCATGGACTTGCACATTCACTCCACTGTAGTCCACCATGTACATGGGCCATTGCTACAAGGAGAACGAGACAAAGCAATAGAAGGATCATTAGAGAGCGCATGAGGGAGACTAGTTATGCTGCTGCAGAAGGAAATTACGGTCCATCAATTACACAACCTTATTAGTGCCTTTTACAAATGTCTTTAATACCTACAAATATAATATACATTTATAAATATAAAGTAAACTGCATCAAAGTATCAAATCAGAGCTTTTCAGTTATGTATTTTTGATCATGATTGAGAATGATCACTTAAACTGTTATATAACAGCTTTGTTATTACCACGTACCATCACTGGAATCTGATTGGTTGATACCCCTGACTCAGAGGGTAAGGACACTCGGCTGCTCTCCAGGACTCTTTTGCGTTTGCGTCGATTGGTAGAAACTTCTCTCTTTTCTTAAAACACAAAAACAATAAAGCTGTTTTGAACATACTGTTAAAGCACGTGTCCTTATAGACTGCATTGCTTTAAAAAAATAAATAGGCTACCGTAGAACAATCCTTACCTGTGTTACATGTTTGGGTGCATATTTCTGCAAAAGGCCTATAGAAAAGAAAATTAATTAAAGTTGAATTTCAGTTCTGTAAATGACCAGAGGTGAGCCTGGCTTTGCCCAAGATTGAGTCTCTCTACTAGAATCTCAACGTGTACAGTTCTTTCATGTCCTTTCACATTTTAGACTTTGTATCCACAATCCGGGATATTTCCACAAACTCCAGATTGACACAATTATCACAATGACACAAACACTCACTGTAGCTGGCTTTTGATGTTGATGTTGATCTCATCTCGGGCTTGAAGGATTTTTTCTAGGCGGACTATGTCGTAAGTGTTGGGATTTCGGAAGGGAATATCGTCCGGAAGGCCACTAACCTCCACAGAGTCGGGACTGGCACGGATCAGCTTGTATGGGACCAGGACAGAGCAGTCCAGGCCCAAAGCGTCACCTGAACATTAAGCTTTTCAGTCAGTTTTGGGCGGATCTTAACTCCCACTTAGGTAGAATTTTCACTAAGTCATGCATTGATATAGTGAATATTCAATTTAAGTGTAAGTTAGGATAATTTTTTTCACTAAGGCTTGTATAGATAAAGCATACAGTATGAATGAAGGATATACACTGACCATATTTCTGGTTGAAGAGTTCTTTCACTTGCTCGCGAAGGATCACTTTCTCACCGATGCGGTTGACCTCCTCCTCATCTGTCATTTCAGGAGGAGAGGAGTCAAACATAATTGGTGGGAATATAAAATAAATACATGTATGCAGTTGACTCTGATAAGTGCACTGTTTACTTTGTTTTTACTTGCGCTGGGTATCTGCATGCTCCCATTTACTGCATGACAGTTTCCAACCAAGTGTTCTTACTGCATCAAAATGAACAGGCAACACAATTAGAATGCTCACCACTTATTGAGGCGTAGGCCTTCTTCAATAAAGTGATCCGACGAGGTGCTAAGGGGGAGACAAATGTAATGTCATTGTACAACTGAGTGTACAAAACATTAGGAACACCTGCTCTTTCCATGACATAGACTGACCAGGTGAAAGCTATGATCCCTTTTTGATGTCACTTGTTAAATACACTTCAATCAATGTAGATGAAGGGGAGGAAACAGGTTAAAGAAGGATTTTTAAGCCTCTAAACAAAATATTTAAGTGCCTTTGAATGGGGTATGGTAGTAGGTGCCAGGCGCACCGGTTTGAGTGTGTCAAGAACTGCAACGCTGCTGGGTTTTCCACGCTCAACAGTTTCCTATGTGTATCAAGAATGGTCCGCCTCCCAAAGGACATCCAGCCAACTTGACAACTATGGGAAGCATAGGAGTCATCATGGGCCAGCATGCCCCGACGAATTGAGGCTGTTCTGAGAGCAAAAGGGGGTGCAACTCAATATTAGGAATGGGTCCCTAATGCTTTGTACACTCAGTGTTTATTACTACTACACTATCTACGGGTTCACAGATGACACAGGACATATCCTAACAAATCATGCACTTTAATTGAAAATTCAGAAATATTAATTGAATATCTGCTTCATAAAATATATGGAGTGTTACCTGGTTTAGGAATGAGTCCTTGGAAAGGTCTACAAGAGACAAACAAAGATGGAATCTTAACATCAATCAACCAACTACCAGGGAGAAAAGAGTAGCAATAGTTTGTCCCGATGGCCGGTAGAACATCCCTGCCTTATTTCCACAACCCCATGAAAACGTGAAGGAGAACTACCCACCTGGTGATTGTGAAGCAGATCTTGTCAGCAACCGCCAGGATCCTCTCCAGGTTCTGCGAGCCAAAGGTACAGGGTTTTCTGAAGGGGATGCCAGGGGGCAGGCCCTCGATGATCACCGAGCCCGGGTTGCTCTTGATCCTCTTGTAAGGCACTTGGACGGGGTATTTGATGCCAAGTGCCTCCCCATACCTCCTGTTGAACAGGTCCTGGACCTGCTCTCTCAGGGTGTTGGCCAGGTCGATCCTAGACAGCTTGGCCTCTAAGCTATCTGTCAACAGAACCATATGACGACATCAGATGAATGGATTAGTTTTGTTTAATTTATTTCATATACACCTTTGCAGCTTGAAGCTGAATTGCAGCATATAAATAGCACTTCTCATTTTAGAGAAAAAGTGAACAAGCAAGAGGAAAAACCAATCCTAACCAGGCTCCATACAGTGAGGGAAAAAAGTATTTGATCCCCTGCTGATTTTGTACGTTTGCCCACTGACAAAGACATGATCAGTCTATAATTTTAATGGTAGGTTTATTTGAACAGTGAGAGACAGAATAACAACAACAAAAAATCCAGAAAAACGCATGTCAAAAATGTTATAAATTGATTTGCATTTTAATGAGGGAAATAAGTATTTGACCCCTCTGCAAAACATGACTTAGTACTTGGTGGCAAAACCCTTGTTGGCAATCACAGAGGTCAGACGTTTCTTGTAGTTGGCCACCAGGTTTGCACACATCTCAGGAGGGATTTTGTCCCACTCCTCTTTGCAGATCTTCTCCAAGTCATTAAGGTTTCGAGGCTGTTGTTTGGCAACTCAAACCTTCAGCTCCCGCCACAGATGTTCTATGGGATTAAGGTCTGGAGACTGGCTAGGCCACTCCAGGACCTTAATCTGCTTCTTCTTGAGCCACTTCTTTGTTGCCTTGGCCATGTGTTTTGGGTCATTGTCATGCTGGAATACCCATCCACGACCCATTTTCAATGCCCTGGCTGAGGGAAGGAGGTTCTCACCCATGATTTGACAGTATATGTCCCCGTCCATTGTCCCTTTAATGCGGTGAAGTTGTCCTGTCCCCTTAGCAGAAAAACACCCCCAAAGCATAATGTTTCCACCTCCATGTTTCCACCTTCACGGCGTAGTGTGTTACCAATTGTTTTCTTGGTGACTATGGTCCCAGCTGCCTTGAGATCATTGACAAGATCCTCCTGTGTAGTTCTGGGCTGATTCCTCACCGTTCTCATGATCATTGCAACTCCACGAGGTGAGCTCTAGCATGGAGCCCTAGGCCGAGGGAGATTGACAGTTCTTTTGTGTTTCTTCCATTTGCGAATAATCGCACCAACTGTTGTCACCTTCTCACCAAGCTGCTTGGCGATGGTCTTGTAGCCCATTCCAGTCCTGTGTAGGTCTACAATCTTGTCCCTGACATCCTTGGAGAGCTCTTAAGAGTGTGCTCCTAATCTCAGCTCGTTACATGTATAAAATACACCTGGGAGCCAGAAATCTTTCTGATTGAGATGGGGTCAAATACTTATTTCCCTCATTAAAATGCAAATCAATTTATAACATTTTTGACATGCGTTTTTCTGGATTTTTTTGTTGTTATTCTGTCTCTCACTGTTCAAATAAACCTACCATTAAAATTATAGACTGATCATTTATTTGTCAGTGGGCAAACGTACAAAATCAGCAGGGGATCAAATACTTTTTTCCCCTCACTGTAGGAACTCCACTATGTATTACTCAAAGTATTGAGGGCAAAGTATAGAGGGCAAATTAATGTACCGATATTGAAAAGTATTTGGTCTCCTTATTACCTGGGAAGCTTGGTCTCTGCAATGCAGCCCCTACATCTTCAGTCAAAGCATCTTTGGAGTCCAGGTCTGTGGAAAAAAAGTCTAAACTTGCAGTGAATATAGCCAGTTCACCAGACCTATTTAAAAGCCACACTGAGAAATATGGATCCAAACCACTGACTTAAACGTGGAATTACCAGCACATTCTAATTAATTACAGAGTTAATTCTAATTCTATGGGCTCAACATTTTGTAGGGTAATAGTTGCTTTAAAAGGGCCTAATGGTAAAGGACACAGTGGAAAACATTATAAGAGGGCTGGGCCCATTTACACTTAGTCAATTCAGTTTTGAATCGACATTGAACCAAAATTCGAATTTATTTGAAGCTATTAAGATATTGGCCATTATGTTCAGTGGAGATGTTTAGTCTAGTTTGAAAACTTACTTTGTGTTTTTGAATGTTAAATCGTTCAATCAACTGTGATACAATCATTAAATCAGCTGGCATTTAGGATGAAGATGTATTTACCTGAATCACAGGATGGGAGAGGAGGCGGTTCTAGCTTGACTTGATCCGTTAACAGTTCTGGCCTGGATAGGAAACCACAACAAAAAGAAAGAGAAACTTGCACACAAATGCTGCTTTGTGCTTCATTCCTGCACCAACGTATACAATGTTTTACCTATATCCTCTTTATACAACAATAATAATATACAAACAAGGATCGTGTTCCAGGCTGACTACATTGCAGACGCCTTCCATATCTCACAACGCCTGGATAAGTGTTTTACATATCAGTTAACCACATCATATGATATAGCAGTCTGATGCCCGACTGGTTGATGTAATGCAACATCTGCAATGTAGTCAGCCTGGAATGCGACCAAGACCTTAGGTGCGTTCCAATAATCCTATTGAAGTGTGCACTTGTTCACTACTCCCCACAAAAGCATTGGATTGGTGTAGGCATGGGCTAGAGGTTTTCCATATAGCTCCTTTCAAATCAATGAAGGAACGTGAACAAGTGCAAACATCTGGAGAAAGGAGATATTATTGGGATGCACCCTGCCCCTGTGACAATGTATGACCTCTGACCTTTTGATAACAAACTGGATCTGGCTGCCAACGGCCAGGATCTTGCGCAGCTTGGCCGCTCCGAAACAGTTGGGCCTACGGAAAGTCATGCCCTCCGGTAGCCCTGTGACACACAGCTCGTCTGGGTACATCTGAAACTTGGAGTAGGGCACCTTCGCAGACTCAGGTAGTCCAAGGGCCTCGGCTACAGAAAGAGAGTGGGATGGGAAATGGAGAGGAATATGGGTGATTCATATTATGCAAAAGGATATTGCTGTTCTGTACTTAAAGTGGCACTCCAGTCTCATTGTCACCTCATTAAACACCCGACTTACTTAACAAAAGGCACTTCTCAATAGGTGGTCCAGGTGAGTCATGACATCGCACAAGTGAGGGTGTGGACCTTTCCTCTTTTGTTCTCCATTTCTCCTCTCAGAAAAACAATTCTAGACCTCCACGTCTGGTTCATCCTTGGGAGCAATTTCCAAACGCCTGAAGGTACCACGTTCATCTGTACAAACAATAGTACGCAAGTATAAACCCCATGGGACCACGCAGCCGTCATACCGCTCAGGAAGGAGATGCGTTCTGTCTCCTAGAGATGTATCTATATCCACAATAAAACGAGTCCTATATTGACATAACCTGAAAGGCCGCTCAGCAAGGAAGAAGCCACTGCTCCAAAACCGCCCAAAAAAAAGCCAGACTACGGTTTGCAACTGCACATGGGGCCAAAGATCGTACTTTTTGGAGAAATGTCCTCTGGTCCAGAGCATATGAGCGGAGTGGAGCGGGAGCGAGCGTGGAGCGTGAGCGGACGGATTTTGAACAGAGCGCAGAGCAGCATTTTTAAAAGGACGGAGCGTCGCCCTATATCCCGCTCCAATTTCGCTCGCTCACACCACGAGTCTGAAGCATGCTCAAGCCTGACCCAGAATCCATCTGTTTAATTTAATTTGTGTCGTCCATGAATTTGTATTTTATAGAGCGAGAGGAGCAGCAGCAGCACCAAGAGAAAAGGGTTGAGGAATTCAAAAGTTTCTTCACTGCACGCAAAGGCCCAACCATAACAAGGGAGAGAAAAAGAGAGCTGGATGTAGCATTTTTTGAAATGATTTTCATGGACTATGAACCGCTGAGTAAAGGAGAACGCGAAGGGATGCAACACTTCGCCAGCGCAGCTCAACCGGGCTACACCCCCCCAAGAAACTATGATAAATCAGTACTTTACTTTGTCAAATTTACATCTGAGATGCCCCATTCACATGCTTCAGCTGGCGATCAAAAACGCCGTTAACGAGCACGACAACATTAATAGGCTGTTAGTGAAAGTCGGGCACCTGGTGAAAAGTGTACGCAAGAGCACAGAGGAAACCTACCAATTAGGTGTCCGCCCCACAAATGCCTGCGCCATTCAATGGAGCAGCCAGCTGCGGATGATTCAGTCGTTCATCCGGTTGTTCCAAAAAGACCCGTTATGGCAAAAACAAACTCAAGTCTAATGTTGCTAACATCACCCTGAATCAAGTACGGCAGCTGACGCACCTTGTCAGTGTGCTGACACCACTAGCAGACCTCACAGACAAAATGCAGAAGGAGCTGGGGAACATGGGGATGATCCTCCCTGCTGTCACAGAAATCAAATCCCTGCTCACCGATTACACTCATGCTGCACTTCCAATGGGCATCGCTGCTTTTGCAGAAACATTGGCAAACAACGTGTCAATTCGCTATGGAATATACTATACTGATTAACATCTCATTTTAGCGTCAGTGTTAGATCCCCGTTTCAAGACAGAATGGATAATCCGAGATGAGTCTGTATGCAACAAATTCGGGGAGATAAAGTAAGGCTGTGGTTTAAGCTAAAAGTGAAATACATGCAGATTTTGTTCCTTTTTTGGAGTGAGCGGGGGGCGATTTGAGTGGAGCGCGATGCAAACTGCGTTGAGCGCTGAGCGATAATGAGCGGACTGGCCTGATGTGGCTTTGAGCGGGGGAGTGGAGGGGTGAACAGCTCCGTGAGCGAGGAGCTGAGATTCTCACCACTCCACTCCGCTCATATGCTCTGCTCTGGTCTGATGAAACAAAAATAGAACTGTTTGGCCATAATGACCATCGTTATGCTTGGAGGAAAAAGGGGGCTGCTTGCAAGCCGAAGAACACCATCCCAACCGTGAAGCACGGGGGTGGCAGCGTCATGCTGTGGGGGTGCTTGGCTGCAGGAAGGACTGGTGCACTTCACAAAATAGATGGCATCATGAGGAAGGAAATTTATGTGGATATATTGAAGCAACATCTCAAGACATCAGTCAAGAAGTTAAAGCTTGGTCGCAAATAGGTCTTCCAAATGGACAATGACCCCAAGCATACTTCCAAAGTTGTGGCAAAATGGCCAACAAAGTCAAGGTATTGGAGTGGCCATCACAAAGCCCTGACCTCAATCCTATAGAAAATATGTGGGCAGAACTGAAAAAGCGTGTGCGAGCAAGGAGGCCTACAAACCTGACTCAGTTACACCAGCTCTGTCAGGAGGAATGGGCCAAAATTCACCCAACTTATTGTGGGAAGCTTGTGGAAGGCTACCCGTAACGTTTGACCCAAGTTAAACAATCAAAAGGCAATGCTACCAAATACTAATTGAGTGTATGTAAACTTCTGACCCACTGGGAATGTGATGAAAGATATAAAAGCTGAAATAAATAATTATATCTACTATTATTTTGACATAAATTGTACAAATAATTGTTCAAGTTAGAACCCATGTATATTAGTTCATATACAGCACCAACTGGAATTATTCCCAGGATAGTTAAATAGATTTTTAAGAGAATATTTGCTTTCTCTGTGACACCTTAACAAGGCTAGAAAATGATGAGGCTGCGTAGAAACGGTTGAGTAAGTCTGTAATTTATGATTTATTGCTTGAGTCAGTTGCTCTCGCTTGGCCAGAGTCTGAACATTGAGCGTGCAGGTAAGTGTATTAGGCAGCTTACCATACTTAGTGCTGAATAGGCTTTCCACTTGCCTCCGAAGCTGGAGGATAATTTCACCTATGTCCTCAGCTAGATTTCCTTTCCGAAAAAACACAAATGAAGAGAAATGTTCATTAGGGTTTTATTCACAGCTGAAGAAAATGGAATGATTAATAAAGAAGAATGTGATACATGTAAAAGTTACAACAGATTCCAATGCATTAAAACTGCAGTCTGAATCAACAATGTCCTGAAGGGGTAAAACAGTTTAACTAAACTATATTAATCCAGAATCAATTTAATTGATTTAATTAAATTGACGTAAAAATCACAGATTACACCTTTAACAATCAATCATTTGAAATTGATTTGTTAGGCTTTGTCAATTGTAAGCATACAGTGCATCCAGCTGATAGATCTTAGGTAGAGGTTGTCCATCCTACATTACCTTCAGAAGATCTTCTGAGGCCCAGCGAAGCTGGTTTAGATGACAGTGCTTCAGCTGAAAAGAAGACGGCAAAGAGGTGAGCAGGGTTGGCACGTTTAAAAGGTTTCACATAAGTACTTATGGCTCAGGCTACTGTTTTGTCAGGCCAAGATATACTGTTAAAAAAAAAGACAAAGCTCAAACAACAGTAGAACCTCAAAGATATGAACCTCAGAAATACAGCCTGACCGGTCAACCAAACTGGCAATATCAAACCAGGAGGATGTATTAAATAAAAAGTAAAAACACTTTTGCAGGCTACCGACAAACGTAAATGTTGCTTACATACATTACAGCCTTATTCTAAAATGTATGGTTGTCCCCCCCCCATCAATCTACACACAATACCCCATAATGACAAAGCAAAAACAGGTTTTTAGAAATTTTAGCAAAATAATAAATAAAAATACGGAAATATCACATTTACATAATAATTCAGATCTTTACTAAGTACTTTGTTGAAGCACCTTTGGCAGTGATTACAGCTTCGAGTATTCTTGGGTATGACGCTACAAGCTTGGCACACCTGTATTTGGGGAGTTTCTCCCATTTTTCTATGGAGATCTTCTCAAGTCAGGTTGGATGGGGAGCGTCGCTGCACAGCTATTTTCAGGTCTCTCCCGAGATGTTCGATCGGGTTCAAGTCCGGGCTCTGGCTGGGCCACTCAAGAACATTCAGAGACATGTCCCGAAGCCACTCCTGCATTGTCTTGGCAGTGTGCTTAGGGTCGTTGTCCTGTTGGAAGGTGAACCATCGCCCCAGTCGGAGGTCCTCAGTGCTCTGGAGCAGGTTTTCATCAAGGATCTCTCTGTACTTTGCTCTGTTCATCTTTGCCTCGATCTTGACTAGTCTCCCAGTCCCTGCCGCTGAAAAACATCCCCACAGCATGATGTTGCCACCACCATGCTTCACCGTAGGGATGGTGCCAGGTTTCCTCCAGACGTGACGTTTGGCATTCAGGCCAAAGAGTTCAATCTTGGTTTAATCAGACCAGAGAATCTTGTTTCTCATGGTCTGAGAGTCTTTTGGTGCCTTTTGGCAAACTCCAAGCGGGCTGTCATGTGCCTTTTTACTGAGGAGAGGCTTCCGTCTGGCCAATCTACCATGAAGGCCTTATTGGTGGAGTGCTGCAGAGATGGTTGTCCTTCTGGAAGGTTCTCCCATCTCCTGTTTGTCTGGGCGGCCAGTGTTGGTGGTTCTGAACTTTTTCCATTTAAGAATGATGGAGGCTTCTGTTTTCTTGGGGACCTTCAATGCTGCAGAAATGTTTTTGGTACCCTTCCCCAGATCTGTGCCTCTACACAACCCTGTCTCGGAGCTCTACGGACAATTCCTTCGACCATGGATTGGTTTTTGCTCTGACATGCACTGTCAACTGTGGGACCTTATATAGACAGGTGTGTGCCTTTCCAAATCATGTCGAATCAATTGAATTTACCACAGGTGGACTCCAATCAAGTTGTAGAAACATCTCAAGGATGATCAATGGAAACAGGATGCACCGGAGCTCCATTCCTAGTCTCATAGCAACACGAACATAGGCGCAGACACATGCATACACACACAGGATAACATACGCACTATACACACACGTACACATGGATTTTGTACTGTAGATATGTGGTAGTGGTGGAGTAGGGGCCTGAGGGCAAACAGTGTGTTGTGAAATCTGTGATTGTATTGAATGTTTTTAAAATTGTATGAACTGCCTTAATTTTGTTGGACCCCAGGAAGAGTAGCTGCTGCCTTGGCAGCAGGTAATGGGGAACCATAATAAATACAAATACAAATAGCAAAGGGTCTGAATACTTATGTAAATATGGTATTTCTGTTTTTTATTTTTAATACATTTGCAAACATATCTAAAAACCTGTTTGTGCTTTGTCATTATGGGGTATTGTGTGTAGATTGCTGAGAAAAAAAAATAAAATAAAATAAAAAAAATTATAGAACAAGCCTGTAACGTAACAAAATGTGTAAAAAGTCAAAAGGTCTGAATACTTTCCGAAGGCACTGTGAGTATATATATATATATATATATATATATATATATATATATATATATATTTTTTTTTTTTAAATATAAATTCACTTAAACTAAAACGACTAAAACCTGACATAACATATGTAGAAAAGATCATCTTTGAGAACTAATCACCAAAATAAAGCTAGACAGTCAGGGAGAAAATTTTAAAAACAAGGAATTTAGCAGTATAGATTTTGTTATTATGTTTGAGCAAAATAATACAGCATTAGCCATGGCAAAATGCATAGAATTGCAGGAAATTAGCTTTAAAACTGCAACATTTTCTCTCAACTCAATTTGTAAAATTGCAGGAAATTGACTTAAAAATGCAAAAGTTTCTCTATACTGCCAAGATGGGAACCTCTAAAATGTTCTCTAAAATTCAGCCGTGCCGACGGGCTGACCGCACCCCCTGCCACGCCCACCACCTATGCCACTTTGTGATTGTGTCCCTGACATTGTGTCTCACCATTGATCATAGGGCAAAGATAATGTTGTACATAATTTGTTTGTTACATATCTGGTAATATGCTGTAGAAAAAATAGCATGATATTTAAATAAACACTGAAATCTAGTGTATATTTTTCTGCACTTACCCATGTTGATTTCCTTCATGATCATCGACGGAAAAGAAAACTTTAACATAAAATCAAAGCAACCAAATAAAACAAACAAAATGTCTAAGGATCTAGACACGAGGTTAGCGTGGACACTTGAGTACAATTCCTTTTCTTTCCTCTTCTCTACAAATCTTCAAATATTGCGCCAAACATGTCAATGAGTGACAAGGAGTTGACATGATAGCACAAACAGACTGGTACTCAGGCTAGTATAGCTCCACATCTATAGCACAACTTAGAATTGAGGTTCAAAAAGAGAATGTAGTGTACTCAAGTGTTCTTAGTTAACTTGTGCTACTATACTACAATCAGGGCTTGGGGATGGATGTTTAGGCCTAGGGCGTGGGTGACTAGGGTAGGGGGTTGGGCTGCAGGGGCTGTTGGTTGGGGTTGAGACGAGAAGGTGTGTACGGTGCATGAACTGTACCGTCAAACCTGAGACAGAGTCCAAATGAAAAACATATAGCTTTAGTGAAACTCACAAACTGGACAAAATAAACCCTGTTTTGGTAAATTCTCAAATATATATTTTTTATAAATAGAGGTTTTCTATTGCAGTGTTATTATATTAGAAAACTGAAACCGCTCTGGATGTTTGCAAAATGGTGTCATTTGTTCCAATCCCAATTGTTTGAGATGAAGTAAATAGATTTGATTGTGACCAATCTTTCTTTGAGTATGTTTTGTGGGAAAACAGGCTTGACTGTGAAAACTGTGTTTAATCTGAGGTATTTCTTATGGACACCAGCTCAAATACAGGAAATCCATCAGATTCTAAAATCAAAACGACACATTCTTAAAGACGAATTTCCAATGATGAAAGCCAAATTCATCCATACCATAAAAAATGGGAAAAAATAATAAATAAAAAACTGATGGACAGTGTGTGTCCAGAGCAAGCGGCCTATTACTTAGTGTGTTACAGGTTTGGCAGAGAGTAAGTGGGTGGGTGGTGGGGTTTAAGGGATGATACTGGGTACTAATGACTCCGGGTGGAGTACGAAGTGTGAGAGGGGGGAAAGGAGGCAGGGAGTGGGGAGTATCTGTGAAAAGTGGTTTCATACGTGTGCTGGTAATCTAGCTCCTGAACAGAGGGAGAGAGCGTGTTGGCGGTGGTGGGCCCAGTGGCGCCGGGTCTGGGCTGTCCTGGTGCAGCCGTGAGGTGGAGAAGGAAGGCGAGGCTGCAGTTACCTGCGTGGGTCTCCAAGGGGCGGTGGGGAGCAGCCTGCGCCAGGGTGGCCACCGCCAACACTGCTGCTGCAGCCGGGTCAGCCTGAGGCTCACTCCGCTCCTCCACTGAAACACTGGCATCTGGGGGAGGAGAGACGGCACAGAGTTAGGGTACTCATTGAAGACAGACGGCACAGTGTTAGGGTACTGGGTGACTTAGGGACAGACAGCACAGTGTTAGGGTACTGGGCATCTTAGGGACAGACAGCACAGGGTTAGGGTACTGGGTAACTTAGGGACAGACAGCACAGGGTTAGGGTACTGGGTAACTTAGGGACAGACAGCACAGTGTTAGGGTACTGGTACTGTATCTTAGGGACAGACGGCACAGTGTTAGGGTACTGGGCATCTTAGGGACAGACAGCACAGTGTTAGGGTACTGGGTAACTTAGGGACAGACAGCACAGTGTTAGGGTACTGGTACTGTATCTTAGGGACAGACGGCACAGTGTTAGGGTACTGGGTATCTTAGGGACAGACAGCACAGGGTTAGGGTACTGGGTATCAGGACAGTCACGTGAGAGAGGAGAGACAGTACTAGCCTGGTCCCAGATCTGTTTGTGCTCTTGCCAACTCCACTGCTTTCATTGTCATGCAAGTATAAGCACGGTAAGGGGAACAGCCCCACAAGGCATGGGTAACTATTAGAGGTCATTGTAAAGAGGAAATAACTTGTCAGGATCACTACAGGGGCATGGCACAAAATATGGTATGGGAACATAGACGTGGATCAGGACAGAGTGAATGAAACAGGTGTGGAATAACTCTCCTCTTCCACCTCCTACCACCCACACACACAGTCAAATCCAGCGGTATTGGATTCCTCTTAACACACAGCCTCTATTTAGCAACGGTCATCAAAATTGTTAAAAGGTTTTAAAAACAATTATAATAAATGCAACAGTTGGACAAACTTTGAGATATTGACTGAATTATAGTGCATAAAACATTTTACTGGTGGAGTTCAGGTATTCAATTTATTTTCAAATGCCACTTTTTTCTCTCCTTAGAATGCACTCGTGCACATTTTCGAATGGTATCAGGTATTGTTTTTATATTTTGTGTTAAAACAAATACAATTATATGTGTCTCCTTTGCATAAACACACTGGGTGTATTTGCCGACATGAATACATTAACATAAAGGGGTGGAACAGGGCTTCAACCACCCATAACTTGTTCTGTCTACCCTATCTGCACTCACCTCCGCTGTCTAGACTAACTTATTACTGTTGTTGTCCCGTTCTCTTGCATAATTCAACAAGTGTGTCAATAACAGGACACCCTTGGATAAAGAAATCAACACGCTTGGCTCTAGATTGCATCTATCTATATATACTTTCCATTGTTTGCTAGATCAGACATAATATCACTATAATCCGATTGTTCATTTTCGGAAGTTGCTTTCATATCTGCGCATCTAATTTGTAAACATTTCAACTGTATTAATTTTAAAAAAAATCAATTCCACAAAGAATTAACACTGGTAATGGGGAAAAAACGACAGGCACAAGCAAGAGTATGAAAGAGTCGCAGGAGTAAAATGAACGCAATCAATCCAGCGATATTTAAGTGATTTTGCACCCCTCAAACACAGGAAATAGATAGATGAAAAAGACAGATTCTCAGGTGGGTGGGGCATGCACGTTGCTACTCTATTGCCTCTTAAAACATGAAAAACATTTTCTAAGACCGCCTTTTATATATTTCTCTGCTATATTGACTCGCCGCTCCCCAGATGCTATCTGGTTTAACAGCTAAAGCTATTTCAAAAGTACTATAATGATGGAGGCGCACCACTTACCTGGTACAGTCACCTGGATGATTTCCCCATCTGGGGGCTCCGTTTTAATCTTTTTCAAGGGAATACAATCTCCTGAAGGCCCTTAAAGAGTAAGAGTAAAAACAGTTCATATAGCAGTGCTGCCTCCCAATGGCACCCTATATAGTGCATTACTTTTGACCAGGGCCCATAGGGCTCTGGTCAAAAGTAGTGCACTATATAGGGAATAGGGTTCCATTTGGGACAAAGCCAGATCTTCCCCCCAGAAGGTGTGACATTGGATTTTTATAGATGCGTTTCAAATGCTTTAAGTAGGTATGTTCCGTATCAGATGGCTTAAGTTGTTAATTTGCGAATCCCAAGGGGCGGTTAAAGAGTGGATATGGAACATTAAACTTTTTCTTGAGGTTCGACTACTGTAAAAAGGTGTGCTAACCTCAGAGTTCACGTCTTGGGTTTGCATGAAAGTATTACTATAGCAAGCTATAGCATTGCCTTGTCACTAACCTGCTTCACATTCAGCCAATAGACTCACACAAGAGCTTGTGGATCTGAAAAGGAAAACAAATCTTTTGAATGCACAATTTCAAATTATGACATAAATGAATTGGCATACATAAATTGTGGTGTGTCAGGTTATGTCCTTCTATTACCAAGTGATAGACATGTAGCATTTACTGAATGGATCTATCAATATATCAAAACGGGTTGAATAGTTTGTTTGTATTGTCTTCTGATCTAATTGTCTGTTATTGCTCTGGATGCAGATTGGCTAAATCAGCTGCGGAACAGCTTCTTTCTATATTTTTGTTATTTTTCTATATTTATTTATTTTACCCCTTTTCTCCCCAATTTCGTGGTATCCAATTGGTAGTTACAGTTTTGTCCCATCGCTGCAACTCCCGTACGGACACGGGAGAGGCGAAGGTCGAGAGCCATGCGTCCTCCGAAACACAACCCAACCGAGCCGCACTGCTTCTTGACACAATGCCCGCTTAACACGGAAGCCAGCCGCACCAATGTGTCAGAGGAAACATCGTACACCTGGCGACCGTGTCAGCGTGCACTGCGCCCGGCCCGCCACAGGAGTCCCTAGTGCGCGATGGGACAAGAACATCCCTGCCGGCCAAACCCTTCCCTAACCCGGACGACGCTGGGCCAATTGTGCGCCTCCCCATGGGTCTCCCGGTCGCGGCCGGCTGCAACAGAGCCTGGACTCGAACCAGGATCTCTAGTGGCACAGCTAGCACTGCGATGCAGTGCCTTAGACCACTGCGGGAACAGATTTTGTCGGATGATTTCAAATAACATCTTGCGTCACTACACCCTCTACATTACTGACTCAGTCCTAGGATTTGCGTACAGACCTGCTGCTGTGAGGATTGGTGACCAGCTCCAGTGCAGCCGACGGGATGCGGAGGCTGTCAGGGAAACCGTCCTCAAAGGTGGAGTTAATGTCGTGCTTCCCCTCCTCCTTGGCCACCTTACCAGCCGCTTTGTGACACAACATAACAGAATCAATCAGATCAATCAATCAGATTAGCCATGATGCACTGCAAGCTATTACAGCTAAACATCCATGGTATCAGAAGAAAAATAAGGACATGGCATTGCTAAAAGGCATGCTAAGGGCTTCTTTAGAAATCAACAATGCAAGATGAAAAAATACTCGGTATACTCAGTAAAAATACTCATTATTACCTGTGAAAATCCTTTCGTCAAACATTCTGGAATGAGAACAGAGGGTTGTTATTGTTAATAAATGTGATTATTGGTCATTGATAACAGTCAAGTAGCGAGGGCCCCCTGTAGTAAACTGTTGGTGAACAACAGTGCACATGTCAACAACGGAACTGAACAGACAACATCTCAAGAGATTAAACAGACATCTCTGCACGGTCTGCAGAGTTCATATCTGGGCCATCTTGAATAAACAACAATATCAAAAACAACGTCAGGAGTGTATAACTCTTGGATAAAAATATAAGCTTCAATCTGCTCTAATTGTATTAACATTAATGACATGCCCATCGCATGTCGCACAATCTACATTTATTTCATCAAATGGGTTGAATGACTGCAAGACGTTGGCTCAATACGCCAGAGAGCAGGAGGCACCATGCTGTGTGGTGTGCTGTGGTGGTTACCAGTCAGTGGGGCATTGTCTATTGGAGGAGGGCAGGGTATTTAACCGACAGATGGCCGGGGCTGACACTTCTCCCATCATTGATTCAGTTTTCTAAATAGGAAATTATAGATAGATGAGATGCTGTGCATGCTCTTGTAGCTCATTAAACAGTGGTCCTCATCAAACAGGATTGTTTTCATTTGGGCATGTTTCTTATTGGACAACTGCATTAGTTGTAGTTCTTCCCTGTTTCAGTAAAAAAAAAAAAAAAACATTCGGAGACTAATGAACACAACCCTGGTATGATGTATTATGCAGCCCTTATATGGGTGCACTATACACTACAGTGCAATCTCATATTTTTGGAGGGAAGAATGAGAGAGAAAAATGACAGCTTTTCCCAGACTGATCTCAGATCAGTGTTTACCTTTTGACTAGAAAGCGGACCCCGTGGCGCTCCTCCAGGATGCATTTGAGTTTGGGTACTCCGTAGGTACAGGGCCTCTTGAAGGGGATTTTGTCTGGGATGCCAATGATCTCCACGGCCTCTGGGTCGCAGGCTATCTTCCGGTACGGCACTGGAACCATGTGGTCCAAGCCCAGGGCCTCCGCTGAAAATAAGGAGGTTGTCAGAAATCATTGATGGACTTCAATCATGAGGGCCCTACAATGCTGTCTTAATAAGGGTATAATTGTATAATGTATGGATGGATTTATAAGCAGTAATGACAGCTGGAAACTGACTAAACACAATCATTCTATAGTAAAACATTTTTTCTAAATTGTATAAGGGATGTTTTCCCAGAGAATCTCCATTGAAAATGCTTTTTGGACTAGGGCTAACCTTAATATGGGTCCGGGAAAACGGAAAGTTGTTAAAACCCTAAAAGGGTTTAACTGCTAATGCCCTACAATAGGAAACCATGCTGAGAAATAGTGGTTGACCATCTCACCATAACGACTGTTGAACAGGATCTGTACACATTCTCTCAGCGTGTTGATGTCCTCAGTCTCTCGAATGAACGAGTCCCATTTTTCTGTTGAGCGCAAAAGAGAATAACGTAAACATAAAAAAATGGGTGAAGAAAAGGAGAATGGAAAAAAGAAAGTTCTTCAATCTGTATGTCTACTTTCCACGTATACTAGCAGGGTTTTTTTCTAAATCAAAAAGGGGCTTAGGTGGTGGGCATCAAGGTTGGGGTCAATTCCAAATCAATTTGAAATTCCTATTCAATTCTTGAATTCAATCATGAAGTGGAGAATTTACGTGAAAATCGATTCATATTTCAACAATTTTCAAGTTATGGAATTGAATTGGAATTCTATTTGAATGGTAAAAAAATGTAATCATTGAAATTGAATTGGAAATCAATATTTGTATATTTCCCAGTAAATGGAAATAATGCACATAGTATCAACAATTGACTACAGGATTTGTTTTAGATCATTTTAACTTGTATTCCTATATTTCCATTATAGATAGGCTGTCTGAACAGTTACATGATCAGCCTGATGGAATTGAATTTGAATTTGTGGAATTGTTGGGGATAATATTGAATTGGGAATTGAATTTGACCTAAACTTTGGAATGGGATTTACAGGGAGAAGGAATTGAATTAGAATATAATTTGTGGAATTAACCCCAACCCTGGTGGGCATGGCAGGGGGCATGGCACTGGGCGTGATTGGCCCATGAGCGTGGCGCGGGGCTGAATTCGGTCTTCACCGAGGTCTAAGGGGCGTCATACTCCTAATGAATAGTTTTGGGATTTTCGATTCTCTCCGACTGTTTAGCTTTTATTTTGGTGATTGTTAGTTCTCAAAGATTACATTATATAAAAATGTATTGGTCCATTATCTTTTCTACATACTTTCTATCTGGTTTCAGTTGTTTAAAGGGATACTTCAGGATTTTGGCAACGAGGCCCTTTATCTACTTCCCCTGTGTCAGATTAACTCATGGATACTATTTCCTCTCACTGTCAACTGCGTTATTTTCAGCAAACTTAACATGTGTAAATATTTGTATGAACAAGATTCAACAACTGAGAAATAAACTGAACAAGTTCCACAGACATGTGACTAACAGAAATCAAATAATGTGTCCCTGAACAAAGGGGGGGGGGGGGGGGGGGTGAAAATCAAAACTAACAGTCAGTATCTGGTGTGGCCACCAGCTGCATTAAGTACTGCAGTGCATCTCCTCCTCATGGACTGCACCACATTTGCCAGTTCTTGCTGTGAGATGTTGCCCCACTCTTTCACCAATGCACCTGCAAGTTCCCGGACATTTCTGGGGGGAATGGCCCTAGCCCTCACCCTCCGATCCAACAGGTCCCAGACGTGCTCAATGGGATTGAGATCCAGGCTCTTCGCTGGCCATGGCAGAACACTGACATTCCTGTCTTGCAGGAAATCACGCACAGAACGAGCAGTACGGCTGGTGGCATTGTCATGCTGGAGGGTCATGTCAGGATGAACCTGCAGGAAGGGTACCACATGAGGGAGGAGGATGTCTTCCCTGTAACGCACAGCGTTGAGATTGCCTGCAATGACAACAAGCTCAGTCCGATGATGCTGTGACACACCGCCCCAGACCATGACGGACCCTCCACCTCCAAATCGATCCCGCTCTAGAGTACAGGCCTCGGTGTAACGCTCATTCCTTTGACGATAAATGCGAATCCGACCATCACCCTTGGTGAGACAAAACTGCGACTCGTCAGTGAAGAGCACTTTTTGCAAGTCCTGTCTGGTCCAGCGACGGTGGGTTTGTGCCCATAGGCGACGTTGTTACCGGTGATGTCTGGTGAGGACCTGCCTTACAACAGGCCTACAAGCCCTCAGTCCAGCCTCTCTCAGCCTATTGCGGACTGTCTGAGCACTGATGGAGAGATTGTGCGTTCCTGGTGTAACTCGGGCAGTTGTTGTTGCCATCCTGTACCTGTCCCGCAGGTGTGATGTTCAGATGTACCGATCCTGTGCAGGTGTTGTTACACATAGTCTGCCACTGCGAGGACGATTAGCTGTCCGTCCTGTCTCCCTGTAGCGCTGTCTTAGGCGTCTCACAGTACGGACATTGCAATTTATTGCCCTGGCAACATCTGCAGTCCTCATGCCTCCTTGCAGCATGCCTAAAGCACGTTCACGTAGATGAGCAGGGGCATCTTTCTTTTGGTGTTTTTCAGAGTCAGTAGAAAGGCCTCTTTAGTGTCCTAAGTTTTCATAACTGTGACCTTAATTGCCTACCGTCTGTAAGCTGTTAGTGTCTTAATGACCGTTCCACAGGTGCATGTTCATTAATTGTTTATGGTTCATTGAACAAGCATGGGAAACAGTGTTTAAACCCTTTACAATGAACATCTGTGAAGTTATTTGGATTTCTATGAATTATCTTTGAAAGACAGGGTCCTGAAAAAGGGACGTTTTTTTAAAAATGAGTTTATAATATATGCCATTTAGCAGACGCTTTTATCCAAAGTGCTAGCACATAGCCATAGACTTCCAGTCATTGCGCTAACGCTAGTTAGCAATTGCGCTTGCGCTGGTTAGCAACTTTCTTCAAATGCACGCAGATAGATAATTTTTTGATCCATGAGTTCATCTGACTCTCGTGAAGTAGATAAAGGGCCTCATTGCCAAAATGCGGAAGTATCCCTTTAAGTTAACACTGAATGCGTTTTACCAACCCCAAAATTTATTTATAAAAATACACTGTATTGCCTTAGACGGCCCACCCAAGAATTTACTGTTTTGGTCCGGCAGCTATTATGTTCCCGCAGCGTGAAGCATACCTGTGCACATGTGCAGATACTCTGTGTGAGTGCACAGTCTTGCTTCGCTCTAATCTGCAATATCTCGTGGCAATGCCATATCACTGAGTCGCAGTTTGACAAGAGAAAAGTTCAGTTTTAGCAGAAACGTTGAGTGCTTTCAAAAGCAAACAATAACCTTTTATTACAGCACCACAACAAAGTGTTATTGAATTAGATGCAGTCAGGTAATCAGGCTAAGGGGTTATGATGCTAAAACCAAGGTCTTGACTCTTTGTAGTGACTGAATATCTCATGGGGTTCTTTCACCGGCACCAGATGTGGGGAGCTCAGGTGTCCTGGCCTTAATAATAATAATAATAATATGCCATTTAGCAGACGCTTTTATCCAAAGCGACTTACAGTCATGCGTGCATACATTTTTGTGTATGGGTGGTCCCGGGGATCGATCACACTACCCTGGCGTTACAAGCGCCGTGCTCTACCAGTTGAGCTACAGAGGACCTTGAGCCTGCTCACTCAGACTGACTAAATTTGCCCCAGTGAACAAGCATATCACTCTGCTACAAAATAGGCTACACCTTTTGTATTTCATGATGGAATTGAGTTTAACATATGTAAGAATTGGACATATTATGTCAAATGTTGAAAATAATATGAAATCAAAGTAAAAAATTATAATATTAATTTCTCAATCATGTCATACAACTCAAAGGAGAGGAGTCTATAGCGTGAGGGAAAATCCATTGGTTGATTGATATGCTTGTTGACATTCCCCTCCCCCTCCCCTTTAATTAACTGCATTGTGGGATTCACATGAAAAAAAGAGCCATTAAGTGAGCCAACAAGTCATTCTCTAAGACTGAGTCCACATTTGAGATATTGTCTATACCCAGATGTGGAGTATATGCATTGTCTGGCAGGGGGGTGGGGTGGGGTGTGCTGCCTAAAGACTCTGACCATTTTCCACACTACTGAGCCGAGTCAAACTGAGCCAAGCTGTACCTGTTACACATCCACCATAGTCGCTGCAACCATGAACAATGTGAATGGAAAATATCGGCGCCAGCACAAACGGGTTGGGTCAACACGATAGTGAGAAAAGGGTATGAGTATGTGGCTTACAGGTGTGTCTGTCTGTGTACAGTTCCAGTTCAAGCCTACCTGACTTCTCATGTACGATGGAAAACAGGAGGCGCTTGGAGACGTGGATGCTGGGAGGGCTCTGGCCCAACTCCCCTTGGAGTCCTATCCGCCAGAAATTAAACATTGATAAACATACTGACAAGGGTAGCATTAAAGGCCTATTTTAAAGCCTATTTAAAGCCTTAAAGCATGCTTTCAAGGTCAAGCAAATCTTGAAAAATGAAAATCCCCATAATCAAAAGTGATTCTCGAGCAAATAAGTTATGTGAAATGACAGCCAGTAGTAGAACCACTCACAAAAATGACAGGGAGAATAGTAACTACTCCCCTGCACCATTCATTAAATCACAGACACAGAAAATGAATGGTGACTCAAAAAGGTGAAGGGTTTGCCAGGTCGCAGTTGTAATTGAGAACTTGTTCTCAACTGGCTTACCTGGTTAAATAAAGGTGAAAAAAAAAAGTTACCTGGATTTCCATAATCTGCTACCTCAGCAACAGCTTCTTCCTGTGGGGTCACGTTATATCTCTTACCATTGTCAGAACTGTCCTTGGCGGCAGTCCCTTTCTCCGCCCCTGCCACCCAGGCCCCCAGCCGGTCTTTGTCCAGGTTGAGGAGGGTCGTGGGCTTGAGGTCCAGCTTGCCGTCGGGGTGCGGCTGGGAGGACATGGGCATGGCATACAGGAAGCTGGAGAGCATGGAGTTGCTGGCCGAGACTGACGCAGTGGGCGCTTCCTGGGCGATGGCGGAAGGCTTGGAGGCTGGGCCGTGGTTGGCTAGAATCTTGGTGGTGCCCGAGGAGGAGTTGTGGTTGCTGACGTTGCCGGCACTGGACTTAGCCTCGCGCAAGGGCTCCTCTGTTCCTCTATAAACAGATGATGAAGAAGAAGGAAACAGGAGAAGATAAAGCTATGTGTCAACAACAAGACCAGCCCTGGATTAATCCTATTTATGCTGCTATACTTCTACGTCATGGAGTACTGTATGGAGTCAGGTCACCTTTTGACAGTGAAGTAGATGCGGTTGCTCTGCTCCAGGATCTTCATTAAGGTCTTGGTGTTATACTCAGCAGGTTTCCTCAGGGTGATCCCCTCAGGCAGGCCGTGAGCCACCACACAGCTGGGGTCCTTCAGGATCCACTCATAAGGCACAGGGACCAGGCTGTTGCTCTTCCCAACAGCCTCACCTGGGAAATCATCACATATATACAGTCAAATGACTGTAAATGGCAACAGTCCATGACTTGTCAGAAACATGCTTTAAGTTGTGAGAAGCTAAAAAATGTCAAATGACTGTTTGACACGTAGACACACACCATCACACATGCACACACACGTTCACCTATAGTATTTACACGCTGCTGCTTCTATTATTATTATTACTGGGTCGTTACACTAATTCGGTGCCTTTTGAGAAGTGTAACTTGGTCATTTTCTTGTTGTTGATTTCACCTAATTAAAACATTCTGCATAAAGAGCACATGTTCAACGTCATAAAAAACTAGGTTTTCCCATCTCAAGAGGTTAAATAAAAAAAAAAATACTATAGTAAGTTCCTATTATAAAGTTACAGGGTTGACAGTAATAAGGTTGACGATTTCATCTTAAATCAGCCATGAAATTAAAAACTTGTGACAGGGGGAATGGAAGCTTGTTGTGTGCAACAGGGAGTGGCAATTGAATGCAAGCTCCACCTGCTTTTACACTATGATTTGACTATTAGATGTTCAATGTTTCTTTTGAAGAAAATATTTAAAAAGGAATAGTTTCACAATAATAAGACGAGAGTTCAGCTCAAAAATGAGGGACAGATGTAAATGAATCACTAATCACATGAAATAACAGCAACAAAATAACTAGGACTTCAAAATGGTGAAAACCTGGATACATTTTGGGGTTAAGTAGGTTAAAATCTTCCTAGAAGTCACAGAGGGTGCACAGAGGAACATGTAAAAATGCAGAATTTTTGTACATTAGCAAGACTTTATCCATAAATAATCTAATTGATTGAATTCTCCCTGTGGTCTATATTAAAGGGCACTTCATTCAATATTGGTGAATAATTTCTACTTAAAATATCAAAGGGCACTCTTTTCGTGGAACGACCCCACCATTATTATTATTTTATTTATCCTGCTGCCCACTTTTACCCCTGCCTACATGTACATACTACCACTGTATCGCTGAACATTGATATGATACTGGTAGTGACCTTGTGTATATAGTGCCTCCGGAAAGTATTCAGAACCCTTGACTTTTCTCCACATTTTGTTACGTTACAGCCTTATTCTAAAATGGATTAAATACTTTTTTCCCCTCAGCAATCTACACACAATACCCCATAATGACAAAGCGAAAACAGGTTTTTAGAAGTGTTTGCAAATTTATTAACAATAAAAAACTGAAATAGATGATTTACATAGTGAGGGAAAAAAGTATTTGATCCCCTGCTGATTTTGTACATTGCCCACCGACAAAGAAATGATCAGTCTATAATTTTAATGGTAGGTTTATTTGAACAGTGAGACAGAATAACAACAAAAAAATCCAGAAAAACGCATGTCAAAAATGTTATAAATTGATTTGCATTTTAATGAGGGAAATAAGTATTTGACCCCCTCTCAATCAGAAAGATTTCTGGCTCCCAGGTGTCTTTTATACAGGTAACGAGTTGAGATTAGGAGCACACTCTTAAAGGGAGTGCTGCTAATCACAGCTTGTTACCTGTATAAAAGACACCTGTCCACAGAAGCAATCAATCAATCAGATTCCAAACTCTCCACCATGGCCAAGACCAAAGAGCTCTCCAAGGATGTCAGGGACAAGATTGTAGACCTACACAAGGCTGGAATTGGCTACAAGACCATCGCCAAGCAGCTTGGTGAGAAGGTGACAACAGTTGGTGCGATTATTCGCAAATGGAAGAAACACAAAAGAACTGTCAATCTCCCTCGGCCTAGGGCTCCATGCAAAATCTCACCTCGTGGAGTTGCAATGATCATGAGAACGGTGAGGAATCAACCCAGAACTACACGGGAGGATCTTGTCAATGATCTCAAGGCAGCTGGGACCATAGTCACCAAGAAAACAATTGGTAACACACTACGCCGTGAAGGACTGTTATCCTGCAGTGCCCGCAAGGTCCCCCTGCTCAAGAAAGCACATATACAGGCCCGTCTGAAGTTTGCTAATGCTAATGGTAATGCTAATGAACATCTGAACGATTCAGAGGAGAACTGGGTGAAAGTGTTGTGGTCAAATGAGACCAAAATTGAGCTCTTTGGCAAACTCTCCAAATACAGGTGTGCCAAGCTTGTAGCGTCATACCAAGAAGACTTGATGCTGTAATAGCTGCAAAGGTGCTTCAACAATGTACTGAGTAAAGGGTCTGAATACTTATGTAAGTGTAATATTTACGTTTTTTTATTTTTAATAAATTATCAAACATTTCTAAAAACCTGTTTTTGCTTTGTCATTATGGGGTATTGTGTGTAGATTGATGAGGGGAAAAAAACGATTTAATCAATTTTAGAATAAGGCTGCAAAGTAACAAAATGTGGAAAATGTCAAGGGTTCTGAATTCTTTCCGAGGGAAATTGTACAGTGGGCTCCAAAATTACTGGCACCCCTGCCTGGCAATGGACAAACAACACTTTCAAAAATATAAACAATATAATTACAGAAAAACTCAAAATACCAACATGTGAGAAATACTGTACTTTATTAATGTTTCAATGGAACCAACCAAAATCATACAATTATTTAATACAAAATAAATGTCACCAAACTCAAGGTTTCATAATTATTGGCACTCCTCATTTAGTACTTAGTGCAACCACCTCTGGCAAGGATAACAGCATGGAGTCTTTTCCTGTAATGTTTGGAGGGATTTTGGACCATTCCTCTATGCAGATCCTTTCAAGATCCTTCACATTCTTGGGTTTGCGCTTATCAACTGCCCTCTTCAACTCAGCCCACAGATTTTCGATTGGATTGAGGTCCGGCGACTGAGATAGCCATGGCAGAACAATGATTTTGTTGTCACAGAACCATTTCTGTGTGGATCTTGAGGTATGTTTTGGGTCATTGTCTTGATGGAAAGTCCACCTACGGCCAAGTCCCAGCCTTCTGGCAGAGGCAACCAGATTGTCAGCCAAAATGCCACAGTGGGTATGAGGTGCCTCTCCTCGTATGTTTTGACGCCAAACATGCAGATGCTATATCTGACCAAAACGTTCAATTTTGGTCTCATCTGACCAGAGCACCTTCTTCCAGTCATAATTTAAATGACGTTTGGCAAACTCCAAGCGCTTGCGTCTGTGTCTTGGGGTCAGAAAGGGCTTTCTTTTGGCAACCCTTCCAAAGAGCCTGTGGTTGTGGAGGTGGCGTCTTGGGGTCACCAGGTTTCAAAAAGCACCATCAAGGCCTGCAATTCTTTCACAGTGATTATTGGGGATTTTGTTGCTTCCCACACCATCTTCCTCCCTATCCCGGGGGGCAAAATGCATGTGTCCTCTACCCGTGAGTTTTTCAACTGTTCCATATCTTTTTTTAAATTGTATAATTGCCCTGACAGTGCTCAGTGGTATATTCAATCGTTTGTGGATCTTCTTGTAGCCATTACCATATTTATGAAGGTCTACAACAATCTGTCTGTTTTGAACTGCCAGTTCTTTTGTTTTGTTCATGGTGTTGGATGACAAAGGGATATTGCATGCGTGTTACGTCATTTTTATACCCTAGTGAAACAGGAAGTGATGTAATGGCTCAATATAGTTCCTTAAGACTTAGATAAACTTAAATAAGTGGAATTTAATTCCTGGTTTAATTTTGGTAGATGTTATTTACAATAATCTTTAACGGGTGCCATTAATTGTGAAACCTTGATTTGGAGGACATAGATTTTTAATTAAATCAATAAATGATTTTGGTGGGTTCCATTGGAACATTAATATAGTACAGTATTTCTCACATGTTGGTATTTTGAGTTTATCTAAAAAAAATACAAACAATATAATTATAAAGTATTGTTTGTGCATTGCCAGTCAGGGGTGCCAGTAATTTTGGAGCCCACTGTATATAGCGTACATTCTCGTGTGTTTCTTTTACTTCTCGTGTGTTTTGATTCTTACATTTGTTTTAGTTTTTTACATCTGACCTAATATTTGAACACTGCAATGCTGAGAAACAGCTTGTAAGTAAGCATTTCGCTGGACTGTTTTACACCTGTTGCATCCTGTACACGAGATAAATAAAGTTTGATTTGATTTGACAATGTAGACAACATTCAATCACGTGTCAGAAATAGGTTTTCAGTTATGAGAAGGTAGAGATTAGAAAAGGAACGTTTCATCTGAAACTTTGTTGCATGTCAAATGACTGTAAATATCAACATTCAATCATGTGTTTGACATTTGATTTTAGTTATGAGAAGGTAGAAATTAGGAAGTTAAATGAGAAAATAAAAGAATTCCGATAGCGCAGGCCTATAAACATATATTTGTTTGGTGAGTTATGTTAAAGCTCTTACTGTAAAGCACACTGAAGACTTCCTCCACCATTTTCCTCAAGACAAAGATGTTAGAGTGGGCATCTGTTGACGCCCTTTGTTTGCCGTGCCCGCCCTCTTTGCCAAGCTTGCTGGATTCACTCTCCTGGACTTTGGCATGGGCATTCACTGTGGTCAGCCCTTGTAGACAGGGCACCCCTGAAAGAATCAAGAATGAGAAACATCTCTACTTTTCACCTTGTCAGTTTCACTCAAAGTTGGGCTATTCTGGTTCTCACTTGCTTTAGAATTGATTGATAGATTTATTTATCAGTAAAAAAAAATACATATTTGCACAGTACATAGATTTTTTTTTTACTTGACCGGGATTGCACAATAAAGTCAGGGACTTACAGTTGGGAAAAAAAGTATTTAGTCAGCCACCAATTGTGCATGTTCTCCCACTTAAAAAGATGAGAGAGGCCTGTAATTTTCATCATAGGTTCACGTCAACTATGACAGACAAAATGAGAAAAAATAATCCAGAAAATCACATTGTAGGATTTTTAATGAATTTATTTGCAAATTATGGTGGAAAATAAGTATTTGGTCAATAACAAAAGTTTCTCAATACTTTGTTATATACCCTTTGTTGGCAATGACACAGGTCAAACGTTTTCTGTAAGTCTTCACAAGGTTTTCACACACTGTTGCTGGTATTTTGGCCCAATCCTCCATGCAGATCTCCTCTAGATCAGTGATGTTTTGGGGCTGTCGCAGGGCAACACAGACTTTCAACTCCCTCCAAAGATTTTCTATGGGGTTGAGATCTGGAGACTGGCTAGGCCACTCCAGGACCTTGAAATGCTTCTTACGAAGCCACTCCTTCGTTGCCCGGGCGGTGTGTTTGGGATCATTGTCATGCTGAAAGACCCAGCCACGTTTCATCTTCAATGCCCTTGCTGATGGAAGGAGGTTTTCACTCAAAATCTCACGATACATGGCCCCATTCATTCTTTCCTTTACACGGATCAGTCGTCCTGGTCCCTTTGCAGAAAAACAGCCCCAAAACATGATGTTTCCACCCCCATGCTTCACAGTAGGTATGGTGTTCTTTGGATGCAACTCAGCATTCTTTGTCCTCCAAACACGACGAGTTGAGTTTTTACCAAAAAGTTATATTTTGGTTTCATCTGACCATATGACATTCTCCCAATCCTCTTCTGGATCATCCAAATGCACTCTAGCAAACTTCAGACGGGCCTGGACATGTACTGGCTTAAGCAGGGGGACACGTCTGGCACTGCAGGATTTGAGTCCCTGGCGGCGTAGTGTGTTACTGATGGTAGGCTTTGTTACTTTGGTCCCAGCTTTCTGCAGGTCATTCACTAGGTCCCCCCGTGTGGTTCTGGGATTTTTGCTCACCGTTCTTGTGATCATTTTGACCCCACGGGGTGAGATCTTGCGTGGAGCCCCAGATCGAGGGAGATTATCAGTGGTCTTGTATGTCTTCCATTTCCTAATAATTGCTCCCACAGTTGATTTCTTCAAACCAAGCTGCTTACCTATTGCATATTCAGTCTTCCCAGCCTGGTGCATGTCTACAATTTTGTTTCTGGTGTCCTTTGACAGCTCTTTGGTCTTGGCCATAGTGGAGTTTGGAGTGTGACTGTTTGAGGTTGTGGACAGGTGTCTTTTATACTGATAACAAGTTCAAACAGGTGCCATTAATACAGGTAATGAGTGGAGGACAGAGGAGCCTCTTAAAGAAGAAGTTACAGGTCTGTGAGAGCCAGAAATCGTGCTTGTTTGTAGGTGACCAAATACTTATTTTCCACCATAGTTTGCAAATAAAATCATTAAAAATCCTACAAGGTGATTTTCTGGATTTTTCTCTCTCATTTTGTCTGTCATAGTTGACGTGTACCTATGATGAAAATTACAGGCCTCTCTCATCTTTTTAAGTGGGAGAACTTGCACAATTGGTGGCTGACTAAATACTTTTTTCCCCCACTGTATTTCTACTGTGGTCCCCATTTTTATTTTTTTATATAGATACATTCAGTATACAGATACATGGATACAGATACATTACAGATATACAAACAATAAAAATGGTTCTACACTCTGGATAAGAGCAAATGCTAAATGACTCAAATGTAAAACTAGAGATCATCTTATTTTATTCATTCAAAACCTTTATAGGCTCAGATAAAAACAAAACTAAGTTCAACTCCAAGACAAAAGCAGGATCTGTGAGCAAAATGTTGTAGCGTTTTTGCTCCAAGTGAAAAATCTACACTAATCGTGTTATGTGATTTGGGCAAATTATACCCGATTCAGCATTTTTGGCCAGTACATAGCGAAGCACTCACTGCAAAACTTGTGGAAGTCTGTTTGTATTTCCATCTGTGAATTGAGGAAGGCTCTTCCCTTCTCTGTTCCCACGGCGATCACGCTGTCCTCGTGCACGGTGATGCAAGCCACTTGGGCGTTAAGCTTTGACATGGCCGTACACTGGAAAACAGGTTAAAAGACAAGGTCATAGGTCACCTCTCAAGCAAGACTAAAGCTGTGTTCGAATACCCATACTAACATACTGTATATTACATACTTAACGAGTATATACTACATACTATTAGTTAATTTTAGTATACTATTAACGAACGGTATCCTTTCAGTTGAGTGTACTAGCGCTTTGCCTCTCTACCGGAAGTGGTTGTTGTTGCTATGTAACTTCTTGCTAGCTTGTTAACATAGCTAACAAATTACTAGCTAGACATCTTACGACTTCATTAACAATGTCCATTGAGAACGTACAACGACTATACAACTTAACTAAGCCAAGAATGATGTGAATAATCAAGTCAATAAACGTAGGGTAGTTAGTTAGATAGCATATAGTTATTATTATTATTATTATTATTATTATAGTTAATATACTGGCAAGTTCGATGTATTAGTAGCCAACTAACATTAGGTAGCTAGCTAACATACAAGCAACTGCTGTAATGATATGCTATGCGGTTCGTAAGGCTAGCGTAGCTAACAAATTGTCAGCCAACATAATGTGTAACTTATTTGAAAAGTCATTACCATTGCTCAACATTTTCTTAACATTTGTAACAATTAGTTAAAGCGATGAATTTGAATCCGCTCTCGTCGGACTTCGGCTGCATATTTTCCTCCATTTTCTTCAAATCTGAAAGTTTTGTGAAGCCACGCGCATTTTCGGAAGAATTGCAATATAACACGGAAAGTGTCCACTGCTTGTATACTTCGTATTTTGGCAAATGTAGTACGATTTTTGGCATACTACCTATATCCATAATATGACCAATAAGCATACTACATACTCAATTTACGTCACAAATAGTACAGTTAGTATGAGTATTCGAACACAGCTTAAAACATTTGCTGTGGGTCAAAGTACACTTAATCAACATTTAGAATATTGTTCAATTCAATTACTCTTCTTCCAGGTCCTGAGGCAGCAAAGCATCCCCAAACCATCACACCACCACCACCATGCTTGACCTTTGATATGATGTTCTTACTGTGGAATGCAGTGTTTCGTTTTCGCCAGGCATAATGGGACCCATCTCGTCCAAAAAGTTGACTCAAGTTTGCCAAAAAGCACCTGGATGATCATCAAGACTCTTGGAAGAACGTTCTATGGACAGATTATTCAAAAGTATAACTTTTTGGACGACATGGTTCCAGTAATGCCTGGCGAAAACCATCATACCAAAGGTCAAGCATGGTGGTGGTGGTGTGATGGTTTGGGGATGCTTTGCTGCCTCAGGATCTGGACGACTTTCCTTAATAGAAGGAACCATGAATTCTGCTCTGTATCAGAGAATTATACAGGAGAATGTCAGACCATCCGTCTGTGAGCTGAAGCTGAAGTGCAGCTGGGTCATGCAGCAAGACAATGATCCAAAACACACAATCAAGTCTACATGAACATTGCTAAAAAGCAACAAATTGGAAGTTTTGGAAAGGCCTAGTCAAAGTCCAGACCTAATCCCAATTGAGATGTTGTGGCAGGACTTGAAAACGAGCAGTTCATGCTTGAAAACCCACACGTCAATGAGTTAAAGCAGTTCTGCATGGAAGAGTGGGCCAAAATTCCTCCACAGCGACGTGAGAGACTGATCAACAACTACAGGAAGTATTTGGTTGGAGTCATTGCAGCTAAAGGTGGCACAACCAGTTATTTAGTGTAAGGGGGCAATTACCTTTTCACACAGGGGAATTGGGTGTTGCATAACTTTGTTTATGAAATAAATATGTAATTGTTGTGTTATTTGTCCACTTATGTTCCCTTTATCTAATATTAGGTTTTGGTTGAAGATCTGATAACATTCAGTATCACAAATATGCAAAAGTGGACAAAATTAGAAAGGGGGCAAATACTTTTTCATAGCACAGTATATGTATATATATATACAGTTGAAGTCGGAAGTTTACATACACCTTAGCCAAATACATTTAAACTCAGTTTTTCACAATTCCTGACATTTAATCCTAATAGAAATCCCATGTCTTAGGTCAGTTAGGATCACCACTTTATTTTAAGAATGTGAAATGTCAGAATAATAGTAGAGAGAATGATTTATCTCAGCTTTTATTTATTTCATCACATCCCCAGTGGGTCAAAAGTTTACATCCACTCAATTAGTATTTGGTAGCATTTCCTTTAAATTGTTTAACTTTGGTCAAACCTTCCACAAGCTTCCCACAATAAGTTGGGTGAATGTAGGCCCATTCCTCCTGACAGAGCTGGTGTAACTGAGTCAGGTTTGTAGGCCTCCTTGCTCGCACACGCTTTTTCAGTTCTGCCCACACATTTTCTATAGGATTGAGGTCAGGGCTTTGTGATGGCCACTCCAATACCTTGACTTTGTTGTCCTTAAGCCATTTTCCACAACTTTGGAAGTATGCTTGGGGTCATTGTCGATTTGGAAGACCCATTTGCGACCAAGCTTTAACTTCCTGACTGATGTCTTGAGATATTGCTTCAATATATCCACATCATTTTCCTTCCTCATGATGCCATCTATTTTGTGAAGTGCACCAGTCCCTCCTGCAGCAAAGCACCCCCACAGCATGATGCTGCCACCCCCGTGCTTCATGGTTGGGATGGTGTTCTGTAGCAAGCATCCCCCTTTTTCCTCCAAACATAACGATGGTCATTATGACCAAACAGTTCTATTTTTGTTTCACCAGACCAGGGGACATTTCTCCAAAAAGTACGATCTTTGTCCCCATGTGCAGTTGCAAACCGTAGTCTGGCTTTTTTAATGGCGGTTTTGGAGCAGTGGCTTCTTCCTTGCTGAGCGGCCTTTCAGGTTATGTCGACATAGGACTCGTTTTACTGTGGATATAGATACTTTTGCACCTGTTTCCTCCAGCATCCTTCGCTGTTGTTCTGGGATTGATTTGCATTTTTCGCACCAAAGTACGTTCATCTCTAGGAGACAGATCGCGTCTCCTTTCTGAGCGGTATGACAGCTGCGTGGTCCCATGGTGTTTATACTTGCGTACTATTGTTTGTACAGATGAACGTGGTACCTTCAGGCGTTTGGAAATTGCTCCCAAGGATGAACCAGACTTGTGGCGGTCTACAATTTTTTTTCTGAGGTCTTGGCTGATTTATTTTTATTTTCCCATGATGTCAAGCAAAGAGGCACTGAGTTTGAAGGTAGGCCTTGAAATACATCCATAGGTACACCTCCAATTGACTCAAATCATGTCAATTAGCCTATCAGAAGCTTCTAAAGCCATGACATCATTTTCTGGAATTTCCCAAACTGTTTAAAGGCACCGTCAACTTAGTGTATGTAAACTTCTGACCCACTGGAATTGTGATACAGTGAATTATAAGTGAAAGAATCTGTCTGTAAACAATTGTTGGAAAAATTACTTGTGTCATGCACAAAGTAGATGTCCTAACCGACTGGCCAAAAGTATAGTTTGTTAACAAGAAATGTGTGGAGTGGCTGAAAAACGAGTTTTAATGACTCCAACCTAAGTGTATGTAAACTTCCGACTTCAACTGTGTATATATATATATATATATATATATAGCATTTTGTATATTTATTGGATAGAGAGAGATAGAGGTGAAAGGTAGGAGAGAGAATGTTGAAAGAACAGTGGATCGGATTCAAACCCATGTTGGCAGAACACACCAGGCCACAGGAAAATGTATTGATTCCATGCCAGCGGAAAATATTTTTGGCATCTCAGATTGTTCTGGCAATACTCACATAGGAACTACATTGGGCGGAAGTATGTTTAACAAATAAATCATGATGAAATTGGCTATTTTAGGCTCTTTTTAGACCTATACATGCCTCCTGTAAAACCCTATGATCTGTGAACTGTACATGATACAGACAACGGGTGCGTTCGTAAATTCACTGTGGCCATCTACTCCGATTTTAGAGCACTCTCGTCTGAGTGTGCCAGAGCGCAGAATGACTGATTAATTTCCGAACGCTCAACATCCGTTCAATATGTCGGTAAACGTCTGCAAAAAAGCGTAATTAAATTGTTGCCAGGAGCACAGTTACAGTCACCAACGCTCTGGATAACATGAAAACAGCCTAACCAGCTCTGCAAGGGCGAGTAAAATTGTCAGAGTGAGGTATCCTCTCATTTGTGTCTGGAAGTAGCTAGCAAGTTAGCCAACGTTAGCCAGTTAGCTTGGGTGCTTGACTGCCGTATTGAGGTCAGAATGTTCGGATCAACCCTACTCCTCGGCCAGAGCGTCCAGTGTGCGCTCTGAATGCTCTGAGAGCAAAACGCTCTGAATTTACAAACAGACAACCTGACAACGCTCTACCCAGAGCACAATCTGAGCGCTCTCTGGCACTCCAGATTGAATTTACGAACACACCCAACATCTTGGTGTCATTATACTCCTTATAGTGTTCTCTCAAATATGGAGTATGTCTAGATACCCCCCCCAAAAATCACATTCATTTATTCAACATAAAAAATATTAATATCTCAAAACTACCCTTTTTGATATTGCTTATTTTTCGACTGGTATTTTAAAAGAGTAACTTTCATGGAAAAAACATGTTTTCACTGAACACATCAATTCTGTTCTTCATTTTGACAGTTCGTTACAAAAGTGATATATTTTGGTCTTTTAGTAGTAAATCTAGCTCATTTTGCCCCTAGCGGTTCAACTCTACCATTGAAATCATGATGTAGAGGCACCTTGAAAAGGTCCCTCTACATCATCTCAAGGGAGGGGTTCGGTATGAAATACACTCTCTTCTGGGTGGTACCACCTCAAGGCTTACTATAAAAGCAGGTGACAGCGTGCCTTATTTGGCAATGGTCCTGGTAAGTGGAGAGTAAGGCACATTTCCGCATATGACCAAATTCTATGTTTTTGCTTACTGTTTCATATACATTGGTGCTTTTATGAAGAAGGAAAAAACATGTAGGCTATGAGGGTTCTACGTTTATATTCGTAGCTACATCCATCGTAACAAGAAATAGATGACAATGGTGGTCATGTCAACTTGTTGAATTTTTTCCCAACCACTATTACTGATTGGTGGCACAGTCCACTAAGACAGTTGGCTCATAGTTCAATGGTTGTAAATTCTAATCCCACATGGGGCAGGTATTTAGAATCCCTTATTTACAATATTCATCCAGTGCCCACACACTTCTAAAAAGTGAAAGCATACATGTGAGAGGGGTCACCTTGGTAGCAGTTGTAGGTTTTTATACAGCACCCAAAACCTACCTGTGAGTTAATTTGACCATTGAAAAAATAACTACTGCATAAATACTGCAATGTGGGCTGGATTGAATTGAACCCCTAATATTCAAGGTGATGATTGCACTTTTCTTCCCAACACAATACCAAAAATACACATTTCAAAGATTTATTTTGTGCCCCATGGGGGATTCGAACTTACACTGCAAGTGGCAATAGATGGGGCGGCAGCTAGCCTAGCGGTTAAGTCAGTTGGGCCAGTAACCGAAAGGTTGCAGGTTTGAATACCCAAGCAGACTAGATGAGAAATCTGTCGATGTGCCCTTGAGCAAAGCACTTAACACTAATTGCTCCTGTAAGTCGCTCTGGTTAAGAGCGTCTGCCAAGATGAAAATGTAATGTCAGAAACTCGGTCGGTATCTTACCACTGTGAGCTAACTGTCCAGAGCCGTAACTGCTCGCGATGCACATCATTTTATTATCAGAGCGTGCCAGTGGACTTCTAGTAAGTATGCTTTAGTGAGAAAGTGTTGGGATCAGGTACAACTGTTTACCCACCCCCAAAATTAATATTAATGAGCAATTCCCCCCACCCACAACTTCTCACCTGACTGCATTTCTTTTTTTTTAAGGGGTTGGGCAAAGGCTGAATTTGGGGTTGGGGTAATTACCCTTTCATGATATGACCCATTTTATACATAGAAATTAACATTAACACCAATCACAGCCCTCCTTTAGGATTGCACATTCAGCAAGTCACCAGCAGTGGGAGTTCCCTTTGAATCTATTTTCCCATTCACTGTGTTGGTGGTGCTCATAAAATGTAGCATACCTTCAGAATTAGCAGAGAGCCCACTGGAAATGTGATGTAATTGTAAAGTATTTTGTTCTAAGCAATGTCTTAAAATGAACAAAATCAAAAAGGGTAGTTTTGAGATATTAATAGTAATATTTTTAATGTTGAATAAATGAATGTGACATTTTATTTTGGAATCAAGACATACTCCATATTTGTGTGAACACTATAAGGAATATAATGACACCAAGATGTTGTCTGTATCATGTACAGTTCACAGATCATAGGGTCTTACAGGAGGCATGCGTAGGTCTAAAAAGAGCATAAAATGGCCACTTTCATCATGATTTTCATGATCCATCCTCCCAATGAAGTTTCTATGTGAGAATTGCCAGAACAATCCGAAATACCAAAAATATTTTCAGCTCCCGTGGAATTGCCCAATTTGTTTTTGTAAGGAGTCATTTAAATAACACTGCCTGACTAACCAATCTTTCATATGTTTTTTCCGTGGCCAAACTAATAACGTGTGTGTGTGAGTGGTCCTACCACTGATTCCAGCGCAGACACTAGGCTGGTGAGGATCTCTTGTCTCGCCGACATTTGTGGGACCCGCAGCTCAGCCCGGGAGTTAGTCCTTATCCCGTCACATCCCGACTTCCTCATCTGTGCCATTCCTCTTCTGAGGGGACACAAAACAGAGGGCCTTCAATAAGTTATCAAGAAGATGAACCAAAACGGTCATTTGTGTCTGCCTGTGTAGATTACATAAATGTGGATGGTGCCTCATCTGCATCCAATCAGTCGCTTCTGGGAGTAGGGTGAAGTTGCTCCTACACTGATCTTGGGACAGTTTAGAATTTTCCTAATGGTTAATGTTTTGATTGGTGATCCCAGACTTCACCCCAGAGCTCGGTTCTGAGTAAGACACTAAACAATGACTCAGTTTTACCCCCGTCTGCAGAAAAGGAGGCTGTGTATACATGGTCTAAGTATATGGCATATGCTAGGTAGACAAATGCATGCCCTGCCATTTAAGGTAGATAAAGCCTACAAATGAATGAGCAGTAACCAAATGCACATGACATTGATCTGGAGTGAATACGGTGTCTCTGCCATTCATCGCCCCAATAAAACAACAAGTAGCCCATTTTATTTGACTTTGACAACATGGTTTGGTTGCATATTGAATTGTGATACAACATTGCAGTTGGAGGGGGGATGGGGGGGTCATTTGGGTGGAGGGGGAGGTTTCTACTCATTAAAAGGCTTTTAAAAGTGGCGGTAATACCCTCCATGTAATATGCTAATACCCAAATCCGTCACACACATGCAAAAGTAGATAATTACGATAAGCCTTTGTCAGCCAATTAAAGATAGCTCCGATTATGTATTTGAATAATCCCTTCATCCTTCATTTGCTCTCCTTAGAAGGTAGCTCAGCAAATAACTCTAGAGATTGGAATTGTCTAGGAATTGACAGAAAAATGTACCCAAATTCAGTTTGACCCCGATTAGGCCTAATTTCTAATTTAGGGCTGGCACGGTAATTGTATAATTGTGTAACGGGCGATTATAGATGACATTGACATTGATCTGGAGATATAAATGCTTAATTTTATTTTTGAGTATGTGAAACGAACATCTGACTGAAGACGGGGACCTTAAAAATAGAATGGTCATTCTACACTGAGTGTACAAAACATTAGGAACACCATCCTAACATTGATTTGCACCCGCTTTTCCCCTCAGAACATCCTCAACTCGTCGGGGCATGGATTCTACAATGGTGTTGAAAGCGTTCCACAGGGATGCTGGCCCATGTTGACTCCAACGCTTCCCACAGTTGTGTCAAGTTGGCTGGATGTCCTTTGGGTGGTGGACCATTCTTAATACACACACGAAACTGTTGAGCGTGAAAAACCCAGCAGCGCTGCAGTTCTTGACACATTCAAACCGGTGCACCTGGCACCTACTACCATACCCCATTCAAAGGCACTTAAATATTTTGTCTTGCCCATTCACCCTCTGAATGGCACACACACAATCCATATCTCAATTGTCTCAAGGCTTAAAAATCCTTCTTTAACCGGTCTCCTCTCCTTCATCTACACTGATTGAAGTGGATTTAACAAGTTCCTAATGTTTTGTACACTCAGTGTATATCTATGGATGGGACCGACAGGCATTCGTGCGGTTGAGTCCGTTTCCATGGTAACATAGACTACAATGTGATGAAACATTCTTGTTCTTTGCGGAAACAAGCAAAGTGTTGTAGCAAACAAGTCTATGGTTGCCCCCACATTCAGGAACGGAGGAGAATATAAAATGTGCATATTTTATAAAGATTACCACAGTCATTTGGCTGACAAATAACAGTCATCCAAAATCCCATGACCATAACAGCCCTAAATGTTCAATATCATTTAGAAAATGGACAGCCATGTAGGAGAGAACTCGTAATTTACCCTTCGCTCAGCCCCGCCCCATAATTTTGGCCAACCAATCACAGCGCTCCATTGGATGGAAACTGTTACAAACTGTTAGCTAGCTGCACTGGCCACCATTGAAAATGCTGCTAATGCTAGTTAGCCAGTTAATTGAACTTGTTTTCTCCAAATGTATGTTAGCTAGCTAAGTTAACTATATTATGAATATAACCCTCATCTGCTATCAAAATCAGGATACGATTTGAGAGAACTAATTAGCTCCAAAAGTGGTTAGTAGCTTTGACTGCATGCTGACACAGTGCATTCAGAGTCATCCAGTGGCTAGCCACACTAAAAACATAATTTTACCAGGTTCCCGTGAAGCAATTGTTATGACAGTCCACCACAACATACCCAAGAGGCTCCTGATTAGCAAAGGGTAGTCTGTGTTTTATCTTCATTGTGTATTAAAAACAGTTTGAGATCATTGTGAGGGGTTTTCTCCACTAGTTTGAATGGGGAATTGGGCTTCCCAGAAATGTTTTGTCAGAGGTTGCAATAGGGAAATGTTACAATGACACTGATATTTAGATTTTTCACTTTTAAAAGTATGCCAATCAAAAACCATTAATTGCAAAGTTAAACAAACCATACAATTCTATGCACACGGACTACTTTTAACGATTTCCACAGAAAACTTTACAAAAACACATTTACTCAATGTATAGTTTGATAACAGAATGACGGTAAACCTCCCTCAGTTTTTTATGTGACCACGTTTTCCAAAAGCTCTTAAATATCTACTCCAAATTAAGATTTAAAGATGTCTGTAGAAAGAATGTCAGCTATGATATGACACCTTGAGTTTGAAAATATATATTTTGGTTATTGAACTACAGTAACTGAAGTGGATTAACACTCAGTAACAGAATGATGGTAACAGAATGACATCATGGGTCCCTGATGTGTACTATACAAAAATGCATAATTATGAATATCATTCTCTTCATGGTGATTTATCGTAAATAGGTGCACAAAAGGTAGAAACATTTTATATCCTCCTTTGCATGTTTGGGTATTATTCTACACACTATTATTCTAATGAGCTCCGCCCCCAAACAAGACCACATTTGGTTGGTCAGGAACAAATCTGTACCAATGATAGATGTCTGTTTCACAAATTTGGACATCACAGTACAGCACAGTAGAGTTCAGTACAGTAGAGTTTATTACAGTACAGTTCAGTATTATACTGTACTCTACTGTACTGTCCTATACTCTACTTTTCTTTACTGTACTCTACTGTCCAAACTTGTGAAACAGATGTTTATGATTGGTTCAGATTTGGACTGACAAAATGTCAACTACTTTTAATCGTCTGGTGTCAGTCGGTGCTCAGTGGGTGAGAGGGCTGGTTACAGTATGGAAAGAGAGGGGGCTCATGGGTAGGTGTCAGTAAGAGCCGGGAGAGGTGACATTAACTGGAGAGAGAGATAGAAGAGAGACAGAGAGGGAGGAGTTGTCCAGACTGTTTTCACACTCTTGCTTTGACCACCACAGGACAGAAAGAGAAAGAAAACATTGTGCTGAACATAACAGTAGGAAGGGAGGACAGTAGCAGGTGACCCAACTGGTTTGTGACTACTATGAATTCCCATTGTAGCCAAGTCAGTTGCAGTCATTCTGTTATAGATTTCTAAGTCATTATGTTACCGATTGGGTAACAGAATGACACGTTTGAATCACTTAATAAATAAAAACCAAATTGTTTTCACTAAAAACACTATAACTAATAGCTATAGCTACCTTTACTTGTTCCTTCTGTGAACTTTCATTATCCTCCCTCATTAAATATCTTAAAGATATGTAGGTTTTTGGTAACAGAATGACAAGACACTAGGCAATCATTTTTTACCTTACAGAAGGAAAATAATTTCTGCAAAACTAAATATAAAATGTTGATATTCGTTGGCAGGGTCTTTACTTCAACATTATTGTGTTTTGATGTATTTCTAATACACTTTCAGAGTTTTTATGCTAGATGTTTTCTAAGACCACCTTTTCATCTGTTTGACCAGAAATCAAAGCCTTTAATTAATCCACATTTTTAGGATGGCACACTTTTGAAAAGTGTATACAGTATACAGTGGGGAAAAAAAGTATTTAGTCAGTCACCAATTGTGCAAGTTCTCCCACTTAAAAAGATGAGAGAGGCCTGTAATTTTCATCATAGGTACACGTCAACTATGACAGACAAAATGAGAAAGAAAAATCCAGAAAATCACATTGTAGGATTTTTTATGAATTTATTTGCAAATTATGATGGAAAACAAGTATTTGGTCAATAACAAAAGTTTCTCAATACTTTGTTATATACCCTTTGTTGGCAATGACACAGGTCAAACGTTTTCTGTAAGTCTTCACAAGGTTTTCACACACTGTTGCTGGTATTTTGGCCCATTCCTCCATGCAGATCTCCTCTAGAGCAGTGATGTTTTGGGGCTGTCGCTGGGCAACACGGACTTTCAACTCCCTCCAAAGATTTTCTATGGGGTTGAGATCTGGAGACTGGCTAGGCCACTCCAGGACCTTGAAATGCTTCTTACGAAGCCACTCCTTCGTTGCCCGGGCGGTGTGTTTGGGATCATTGTCATGCTGAAAGACCCAGCCACGTTTCATCTTCAATGCCCTTGCTGATGGAAGGAGGTTTTCACTCAAAATTTCACAATACATGGCCCCATTCATTCTTTCCTTTACACGGATCAGTCGTCCTGGTCCCTTTGCAGAAAAACAGCCCCAAAGCATGATGTTTCCACCCCCATGCTTCACAGTAGGTATGGTGTTCTTTGGATGCAACTCAGCATTCTTTGTCCTCCAAACACGACGAGTTGAGTTTTGACCAAAAAGTTCTATTTTGGTTTCATCTGACCATATGACATTCTCCCAATCCTCTTCTGGATCATCCAAATGCACTCTAGCAAACTTCAGATGGGCCTGGACATGTACTGGCTTAAGCAGGGGGACACGTCTGGCACTGCAGGATTTGAGTCCCTGGCGGCGTAGTGTGTTACTGATGGTAGGCTTTGTTACTTTGGTCCCAGCTCTCTGCAGGTCATTCACTAGGTCCCCCCGTGTGGTTCTGGGATTTTTGCTCACCGTTCTTGTGATCATTTTGACCCCACGGGGTGAGATCTTGCGTGGAGCCCCAGATCGAGGGAGATTATCAGTGGTCTTGTATGTCTTCCATTTCCTA